AGAAAAATCTGCAAAACAGTGAAAACTAGTTTTCAATGCCAATTGTCTCAGAGCTATGCAGTAACCATGGTAATACGAATCACGTGGTTTTGTTTAGCAAAGCGTCACCTCCCAGTTAATATTTTGGCTTCGTTTGACTTACAGTGTTCAATCATGATTGTATAACGTCACAATGTCTTAAATATACAAGTATACTATTTTTATCCTTGGCACCCTGACGTTATATAACCGTAGTTGAAAGTCAAACTGTGGTCAGTAAAGTTTACTGCGGGATTATACTGGTTTTTACATCATACATACACATAAAAACAATTGCAGTTTTATTTACTTTTTAACAAATTTAATTTTTATGGACAAATACAACCTAACCTAAAGTTCACTAATCAACTGTAACTTACTTAAGTTAGTAAAGTTAGAATTCAAGAATTTAGTTACAAGGAGGTTATTAAGTCAGTTACAAGGGATTATTAATTACAAAGAAGAATTAAGAAGAATTTATGAGGTTATGAAGAGATTATTAGCTAGAAGAAGGAATTGATTAAGTTAAATGAATTAATTAAGTCAAATACAGTTGAAGATTAATTATTACTACAGTAATATAGTGACAGTATGAAGTTAATTCATTGAAGTAAGCATTCAATAGTACAACCACAAGATCCAGTATATTTGAAAGTACATTATATGGAAATTACAAGGATTTAAATTTATATATTTATATGGTGAGTGGAGATAATTAAAACTCCGCCTGTGGTGACTAATGGGTGGATTGAATAGCTCAGGAGTCACCATTGCCGGTCCTAAGCCCGGGTAAAGGAGGAAGGTTGGGCAGTGGGCTAACAACCCACTCCCGGAAAAACACACTGTTATGAAACCTAAACATTTGCCTCGGAACAAGGGGAACTTTCGGAAACGACTAAAGCTACGAAACATGGACTATGCATTTGGAAGTTGGAATGTGAGGACGCTAAATAGACCAGGAGCTCAAACTGCACTTCTACAAGAACTAAAAAGATATAATCTTATGATCACTGCTCTTCAGGAGACAAGATGGCCGGGGAAAGGTGTCAGGGACACCAAAACGCACACAATTCTATATAGTGGCAAAGAACAAGGAATCAAAGAATGTGGAGTTGCATTTGTGGTAGATAATGATTTTAAGTCAAAAATCATAGACTTCCAGGCAGTGAATGAAAGGATATGCAAACTAAGAATTCGCACCCACTTCTTCAACCTTACTATGATAAACATCTACTGCCCAACAGATGAACAAGAGCAACATACAAAGGAAAGCTTCTACCAACAGCTGGAGATAGTATATGACAGCGCGCCAAAAAATGACATTAAGGTTATAATGGGTGATATGAATGCCAAAATAGGCAAGGAACCGTAGTTCTATGGCACAACAGGAAAACACTCACTGCACAATGAAACAAGCGAGAATGGGGAGTTTTTGATAAATTTTGCCACCAGTAAAAACATGGTTATAAGCTCCACATGCTTCCCACATAAAGACATACACAAAATGACGTGGATCTCACCAGATGGAACCACAACCAATCAAATTGACCATGTTATGATAGACAAAAGGGCAGCCAGTAGTATCTCTGATGTGAGAACACGACGAGGAGCATGCTGTGGATCAGACCATCTTTTACTGCAAACCAAATTTAGGTGCAGAGTTAACAGAGAAAGAAACGAAAGACAACAAAGAACAAACAAACTAGACCTGGAAAAACTGAAGACTCAGGAATGTAGAGAGAAGTTCGAGCAAGAAGTCACAAATGAGCTAAGGACACAAGAACTGCACTCCATAGAGAGCAAATGAAATAATATCAAAACAGCAGTGCTGACAGCAGCAGCGTCCACCGTGGGAAACAAGAAAAAGAAGAGAAGAGGAACATGGTTTGATGACGAGTGCAGGCAAGCGATAGAAGAAAGAAACGAAGCGCACAAAATGTACATAACAAGAAGAACACGGGAAAGACGAACATCATTTGAAGTCGCAAGACGGAAAGCAGACAAGATATGCAGAAACAAAAAGAGAGCTTATGAAAATGGACAAATAGAAGAAATGGAACAAAATTTCAAAAAAAAAACGAAATTAGAGGAGCTTACGAATACCTAAAAAAGATAAAAAAGTGGATATAAACCTCAAACAAGCCTATGCAAAGATGAAAGTGGGCAAATAATCAGTGACCAACAGAAAGTCACAGAAACCTGGAAGCATTATTTTCAGACCCTACTTGGAACACAAGTAGATATGGAAGATGAAATGGGTACGAACCATGTAGAAGAGAACGAAGTTGAAGTAGAAGCTCCAACCATAGAGGAAGTTCTCGAAGCTATTAAGGCCCAGAAAAACAATAAAGCCCCGGGAGTTGACGAGATTCCAGCAGAACTGTATAAGGTAGGTGGCAACCACCTATCAAGTCATATCCACGCGCTTATCAAAGAAATATGGCAAGAAGAGAAAATACCCGACGAATGGAAGAAAAGTATAGTATGCCCAATCTATAAAAAAGGAGACAAACTCCAATGCAAAAACTACCGTGGAATTTCTCTACTATGTACAGCGTATAAAGTCCTCACGTATATTATAAACCAGCGACTCCAACTACTAGCAGAAAATATTATTGGAGAATATCAGACGGGCTTCAGATGGGGAAGATCGACAATGGATCAAATATTTACAGTCAAGCAGGTCTTGAGCAAATCGTGGGAACACGACATTGATGTTCACAACGTGTTTGTAGACTTCAAACAGGCATACGATTCAGTCAAAAGGGACAGATTATACTATATATTGGCAGAATTAGCAATACCACATAAGCTAATTAGACTCATTAAAGCCACAATAAAGCAGGGAGATGGGCTGGCACCAACATTGTTTAACCTGGCACTGGAGTATGCGGTCAGGCAAATGCAAACTGGACGAGAAAACCTACTGACCAATAAAACGGTTCAACTGGCTGCCTACGCCGATGATATTAATATTATGAGTAGAACATCAACAGGAGCACAGGAAGCATACGCAGAGTTAAAAACACAAACGAAAAGGCTAGGTCTGGAAATTACACAGAAAAAACAAAAATAATGGTACAGACGAGAAGAAATATAATCCCACAAAACATTATACATGAAGATGACATTGAAACGGTTGGAAAGTTTACATACCTGGGAGTAGAAATATATGCCGATGGAGCAGAGGATGGAGAAATATGAAAAAGGATAACGCAGGCAAACAAAGCTTATTTTGCCCTCTCCCATATATTTCGGTCTAAAAGTGTCCACCGAAATACAAAGATGAGAATATATAAAACTTTAATTCGGCCAATAGCATGTTATGGCAGCGAAGCATGGGTCCTGAAAGAAACATCCAAAAACAAACTCGACACATTCGAAAGAAAAGTACTGAGGAGAATACTAGGACCTGTGAGGGAAAACGGAATCTTCAGAATTCGATATAACAACGAGCTCTATCAACTGTATAAGGAAACACCCCTGTCAGACTTCATTAGAATACAAAGATTGCAATGGGCCGGACATGTGATACGAATGGGAGAGGATAGGCTACCAAAAAGAGCACTGAACGCCAGAATGCAGGGAAAGAGACCAGTTGGAAAGCCAAGAAAGCGCTGGGAAGACCCAGTAAGCAGCGACACACAAGCACTTTTAGGAGTCCGTGTATGGAGAAGAGCAGCCACAGACAGACAAGGGTGGAGGCAAAAAATAAAGGAGGCCAAGGCTCACTTTTTGCTGTAGTGCCGTAGAAGAAGAAGGAGATAATTAAGAAGAAACATATTAAAATTGTTGGATAACCAAGGCTGAGTAAGAAGATATCGAGTGGGAATTATAACATTGATTGTGGAAGACTTTAGGCGTTCAGTGATAGAAAGGTACCAAATTTTGTTAATAATTTAATAATTGTAAGAATTTCAAATTTTAGATAGATTGTTTTAAATTGATATTGCTTATATTAGATAGATATGTTTGTTTCATAACAGTTATAATAAAGATAATTTAAAAAAGTACTTACAAACTAATTCTTTGAGAACCACGATAAAAACCCTATACTTACATATATCATTCAAGTTTACTCATAGCTCATACAGAAACAACACATCATAACAATATATATATATATATATATATATATATATATATATATATATATATATATATATATATATATATATATATATATATATATTCCTCTGTATATTTCTTGGTGGTTACTTTTCCAAGTTAGCATGCTCTTTTTCTAGCTTGGTTGCATCGTACTGATGACGGCCAAATAGTCCGAAATACGTATTTACTGTTGCCTACTATATATACGCGTCGATTATCATGGTGCCGAGCTTTCGATATCCTCCTTGATGTCTTCTTCGGGGCATCCGAGGTCTCAGGCTTATCATTACTGCATGATAATGTATGCGGTTCAATACGGAAGACTGTTGAGTTTAATATGAATTCTTGTAATAGTATTAATCTTAGCTCTAGGTTTAATATATATACACTACATACAGAAGTTAATATATAATATATTAACTTCTATTTCCTTTTAAAATTTTCAAAAATATTCGTCTTAAACAGAAACAATTAGTTCTGCAGAATCACAATTGGCTACATTCAGGGGCCACTACCCATTCAAAGTTGATATTCCCAGCAAACCTCGTAAATATGAAATTAAAATTTTTGCTATGCCAAAAATTGCACAGATATAATTTTTTCAGGAAAAAACATTTTTCCCAGAATTTTTCACTTCTTTGCGACATACTTCTTGCAATACTTTGTCTTACTTAATAAACTTACTAAATATACGGAATAGATTCAATCGCCGAGTGAACTTTAGTTCACTTCTTAATAACACAATGTATGTGGGCACTATATAATCGCATTATTTAATCACATTTAAAAAATGAAAACAAATACAAACTGAGGACTTTGCCAATGGAAACGTATCCCTGACCTTTAAAAAAACGTAATTTAACCCTCAGTACCTTTTTCGTTTAATTCCTCCAATTTTTCCTTCAAATTTTCATCGAGCTCTTGTCCTTCCATAGGCTCTAAGGATAGTTTTTCCACAATTGCACCAGTTACTTTTTCAATCGTTAAATTGTCTAAAGCTTCTAGTTCTTTAATACGACCGTCTTCGGTAGAAGGCAACAACATTGTGGTCACGTCATTGTCTTCTAAGAAAAGCTGCACGATAGAAGTTTCACCGCTGCTAATTTTTTTAACGGTAAAAATCGTTTGGCCCTCTGCCGATATATCGGCGAACTTAGCAGCCGCTTCTGGCGTCCATGTGGGAATGCCGTCGTTCTTTTGCAGACTACATTTCATTGCCAATGGCGCAGTCATAACTAAATCTTCTGGAAGTTGTTTCAAATCCGTACAAACGCATGAGTTGCCATAATCGATGAAAATAAGTTCTAGACCTGCCACCGTATCGGATAGAATTCTAGCTCTATACCACATTTGATCGTCTGGAAAGAGAGCAGCGCATAATGTGCCAGGAGTAAAATCGGTTACATCAGGGAATGTCTCAGCTGAACTGAGCTGTTCGGCGATCCATTCGAGTTCGTCTATGCAACTCTCCAATTGGATCCAGAATTCGGACGGTGAGTTTAAATGGCTTACGAAACCAGTCTGGAAAATAAAAAATTAAGCTCAAATAACTGCAATACCATCTTTACTGGAGAAATTGTGAAGATAATTTAGAAATTCTCTGTGCAAAAATATATGGGTATAAGAAATATTTGTATTTAAGTTATTAAATATAAAACAATGAGTGCAACTAGTACATCAAGTACATGGCAAACATTAATTGTTTTCAAATTCTTTCCAATTTTTTTTTAAATTAGAATATAAATTAAAGTATAAACTTTACCTGTCTTGTTTCGGTCTTTTCCGTAATTGTTTTAACCAGGTTTTCTTTCACCAAAGCTGCCCGAATATCCGTACTATCAACATACAGTTCTACATACGTGCATTTTTCGTCCTGATTTAAAATCTCGGCCGTTAAATTTTCGACATTTGTAAGATTTTCAAAAGCTGTCATTGCTAAAGCGTCCCATTCCTCGCCTAAGGGTTCAACTTTAAGGGCACATCTCGTTGCGTAGATCGCTAGTGATAGAAGCTAAAAATTATAATGAGATTAATCTTCTGCAATCAATCTTCGACTATATTTCTAACTGAGACTTACGAGCCTTAACAACTATATGATGGAACAAGCAGTTATTTTGCGAATATAATGCCACCGAAATTCTTTTACTTAATTTGTTTTAGTTGTAAATATGAAATTAACACCATTTTTTATGATGTATGGAATTACTTATATATTTTATATTGATTACTTTTAATTATTTGTTTGATAATCGAAAACTGCTGACAACTAAATATTGGAACATTGTTTGCTTTTCCTTAACTCTCTTAAATTTTATCAGCCTGACGCAAAGAAGGCTTTGAAATCAAACATACGAGTAGGTAGTGATATGTCAACAATAATTGTCACGCGTCATTTGAGTATGAATGAAGACAACCGTCAGTTTAAGTACGAGTAAAATACACTGACCGGCAAAAAAAGTAGCCACCCTATAAATTTCCGAAAATAAAAATTCATTAGAAGCTTTATGCACTGTTTCATATTGTATTCTCAACATGCTTTATTTATAAAACAAAAAATGGCCATTACTGTTTGATTTCTTAGCATAATTTATTTAATTAGAAGGCTACAAAAGAAAATAGTGTGATATCGAAGCGAATTAAAACAATAAAAATTACGAGCGAACTTAAACAAAATTGTCTAATATCGGGTATTATGCCATAAAAGATCAATAACCGTTTGTATACGATTTGGAAGGGAAAGGAAAAAAATTTGAATAAAAACTTAAGGAATACGTTCATGTTCACCACGAAGCATGTTGTGAAGTTCTGCAAGACTTTCTGACTGGACTGGTTGACTTATAACCCTATGATGAAGTTTATCCCAAAGATGTTCGATTCTATTCAGATCGGGGCTGCAGGCTGGCCGTTCTAGAGTCTTAATTCCAACCTTCCCCAAGTAATATGTCAGGATTCTTGCAGTATGCGGTCGTGCATTATCATGCATAAAGACGAAATTGTCGCCAATAAAAGAACCAAATGAAGCTACTGCTTCTGCCAAAATATCCTCTATATACCAGTGAGCATTCAGGGGGCCATTGATGAAAATAAGTTCAGTTTGAGCTTCAAGTGAGATTCCAGTCCAAACCATGACACCACCACCGCCAAACTTTCTTCTCTGGGACATACAAGCTTGGGCATATCTTTCATTTCTTTGTCTCCAAACCTTCTCTCGGCCATCGCCAGACTTCAAACAGAACCACGATTCATTAGTAAATAGAATTCAGCTCCAATCCTGTATATCCCAGTGTTGATGTCGAGAAAAAATTACCCGATTTCTGCAGTTTCTCGGTTGTAATTTGGGAACAATAGTCTGTCTTCTTGCCACTAGCCCTCTTTCATTGAAGCGTCTTTTAACCATGGTGTGGAGTTGTATATCGGCCGAAGGGCCGGGAATTTTACATTTTATCGAGGGCATAGTAAATGCAGCCACACATCAATATATCCTTGAATATTTGTTTCTACAAAGTGCGGTCAAAGTTATATCCATCAGGAGATTATATCTTTCAGCAGGACGGAGCCTCATGCCATATGGCTAAATCTACCAAAAAATCGATGGGATAATCCATTTAGCAGTCACTAGCAGCCAAGATCTTAATCCAATAAAGACACTTTGACACAAAATAAAATAACGCCTAAGAAATAACCCTCAGTGTACTTTACCTCAACTACGTGCTAAATTACAAGAAATATGGGATAATTTCACCCCTGAAGTCTGTGAAGGCCTAGATGATACAATCCCTAATGGAGTTCAGGCTATTATTCAAGCTAAGGACGACGTTACGTCTTATTAACTTTTATTTTAATTTGTAAAAATCCTCTTGTTCCGATATTTAACTGTCAGCATTTTTTGGCTATCAAACAATTAATTAAATAGTAATCAACATAAAATATATAATTAAACTGTAATAATAATTCCATACATCGCAAAAAATGTTGTTAATTTCATATTTATAATTAACACATTGACGGACAGACCTGCTATAGCCGTCATGTATACTGTGACGCACCTGCTACAGCCGTCCAATTATAATTCGCTTTGTAGGACAGACCGGTTGAGGCTGGCACATTTTATACTATTATACCATTAAAAATACATGTTGGTGTCCCACGAAACGTGTTTGCAATGTTGGTTGCCAGCAGTTTAGGTACCTACTGCCAATTAGAAGACGTGGGTGTATGAAGGGGAAGGCAGTTGTACAGAAATGCCACATGCATTTGTTATTGTTGACTCAGACATTGTAGAAATTGTTATTTTGAATAATATTCAGTGGCGTATGGTTTTGATTTAGTTATTTTTGTGCATAAAAAAGTAAAAAAATATACAGGGTGTTTATTTTTGAAACAAGCAATGAATCCAGAAGAAGAAAAACGTCTTTTGAAACTTTATGAGGAAGTAGACAGCGATGAATGTATTGATAGTGATATATCTTATGGGGAATCAGACTCCTATCATCCCGAAAATGACGATCTTGATTCTGATGACAGTAACATAGAGTCAGAGGTAAGTTCAAGTTTTTTTTTTATTTTTGTTGTTATTTTAGAACATTGACTTTCAGGTTCTAGAAACTCTTAATGAAGAAGGTCATGTTTCTGCAGAAGTGAGTCCCGAATCAGATGCTGACGATAATATTCGTGCAAACGCAGACCCAGTCGAAGGAAGTGATAATGAGGATACTAATGAAAATGGATGGAATAGTGATACTGTGAGTATAGATGACTTCTTATTTGATTATTCACAAATGGGAATCAAGTTATTTGGAGATTTGAACTCGTCACCTTGTGACATTTTTACTCAACTGTGGAATAATGGTATAATGGATTTATTGGTAAAATCTACAAATCATTATGGGAAATCCTTAACTAGACAATCACGCCCCAAAACCAGACATTCACGTAGTATTATTTTTAAAGAGACTTCCAAAGAGGAAATGAAAAAATTTCTTGCTTTATGTTTGCTACAAGGGCAAATTAAAGTCCAAAATATTAGAAAACTGTTTAGTTTCGATCCATTAAACTACCATCCAATATTCTCGTACATAATGAGCGGTAGACGATTCGAACAAATTTTACGGTGTTTTTCGTGCACAGTGGTGACGATATTCTTAACCCGAATGATCGACTTTACAAGATTAAAAGCCTACTAAATATGTGTCTCAGAAATTTTCAAGATGCTTATACACCAGGTGCACAGTTGTCTTTGGATGAGTCGTTACCATTATTTCGTGGTCGGCTATCATTTAGAACTTATATGAAAAATAAAAAAACGAAATACGGGATTAAGTTTTACGAACTTTGTTCTCACGATGGATACGTGTTGAATGTGGACATTTATAAGGGTCAGGGGAAAGAGGGGCCAGATAATAATATGACGAAACTAGAACATCTGGTTATGACACTGATGCATCCCTATCTAATAAGGGATATCATCTCTTTATGGATAACTATTACAATAGCATACCACTTGCCCATAGATTGTTGCAGAATCAAACACACGTAACAGGTACTCTACGCTCAAACAGACGAGGAAACTCGAAAGTAGTTGTGACTAAACGTCTTCGTAAAGGACAGCATATCTGGAAACGTCAAGGAAAGGTTTACGTCTCAAAGTGGAAGGACAAGAGAGATGTTTTTTGCTTAACAACTGTTCATCATCCTACTTTAGCAGAGGCTACAAATCGTCATGGTCAGATACGTATAAAGCCAATTGAAGTATCTGAATACAAATCATGAATTTGTTGCTTGTGTGAGTCCATTTCAAATAGGTAAAGAAATAATAAATCAGACTTACTCACAATCAATTTAATTTAACTTAATTTAACTGATTGTGAGTAAGTCTGATTTATTATTTCTTTACCTATCTGAATACAATAAATTTATGTCTGGAATTGATCGGTCAGATCAAATGATATCATATTATTCCTGTCCGAGAAACTATTTTCTGGTACAAAAAAGTTATTTTTCATTTATTGGATATAACAGTTTGGAACTCCTATTTTTTGTACAAAAAAATTACAGAAAAAAAGATAAGATATAGAATACAGTGAAGCTCTTATTAGGTCGCTATTAGGTCTCGGTATTAATTTCAAGGATGGTCGTTTCTGTGTCAATTTCAAGCCAATTCATGAACGTAGTGACAATTCAGAACCTCATCGTGCTACTGGTACAGTATCTCAACACTTCCAAGAACTAATACCAAGACCAGATAACCATCAGAGAAAGTTCTATTACCTACGCTGTAAACAGTGTTCCAGAGACAAGAAGAGGACAGAAACTCATTGGAGATGTAAGACATGCCAGGATACTCCATCTCTTTGCTCTAGACCATGCTTTGAAAGATGGCATATAGAAAAAAACTAATTTGTTTTGTACAAAAATGACTTTCTGTAATGTTCTAAATACCTAATAAAACAATTTGACGTAAAATTACATTGAACGGTTGCAGCCGTTGTGTCCCAATAGACATAATATATTTGCCGCGTGGGACGGTGACGGCTCCTACCGTTATAGTTTTTTTTTAGTAAGTCACTTAATTTTAAGCAGTTTAGTTATTTTTAAAAATTTGAGTTTAAAATATTCCATAGTATAATAGATAATCAAGTGCGTTGGTTTGGTCGACAAAACGTTAGCTGGTGTCCGTCAATGTGTTAAAAAAAAATTAAAATATGTAAGAATTTCGGTAAATTGGTATTTTATTCGCAAAATAACTGCTTGTTCCAACATATAGTTGTTAGGGATCATAATATAAATATTCGAATTATAGCTCACCCACTGTAGGTGACAAAATTGTTTTGGATTTTGATATGTAACGTAATTATCCGACAATTACGATATTCTTAAAAAAATGTAAACTATTAAGGTAGTAAATAACAAAGTTAAAACAACTTTGGATACTTGAGAAAATTAAACACCTCAAAAATAAATATTAATATCCTCAATAAAAGAGTAGCAAATAAATCAAAAATTTGTAGACCATCACAGCATTTTGAAGAAATTTCATTTTCAACCAATTTGGATTAGATTGAAACACTTATAGAAGAATTTGACCAATTGATTTGTTGACTTCAGGAAAATTCACTTGACTTCACTATTTAGTCAGCCGCTCACTATCTGTGTTGTAAATGTACCTTGTAAATGGACCTGACCTTCAACTGGAACTGTGTGATTTGCAGTCAGATCCTCCTTACCAGGGAAGAACTGAAAGAGGATTGGACTTTTTCAAATGTCTACCGGAGGAACGTTATTCCACTTTAAGAAAATATTTTCTTAGAATTTGAAAATTAGAGTTTCATGCTTGAAAACACATACCTTTGTGAAAGCAGCTTAAAATCCAAATATAGATGTTCGCTCTCTGATAAATCACTTTCTCAGTGAATTCGTTTCTCATTTATATATATATATATATATATATATACATATATATATATATATATATATATATATATATATATATATATATATATATATATATATATAAAATATTGAAATTAATATTGATACTTTTGTTGGTTGAAAATCAACATCCACAAACTTTTCACTAAAGTTGGACAGCTCTGGTCTAAAGTCTACAGAAAAATATTATGGTTAGTTTTTAAATGTCGTCAACATTTAATTTTGATGCATTTAACCCTGTACATGCTTCAGTGCATGCTCTTCTAAAATCTCTAGAGGAATTAGGAAATGCCAAAAGATCTTAATCCCAATGAAAGAAAAATCCAAATCTGCAACCTCCACGTGGTAGAAGATGGGAAACATCTATCTATAGATGGCCAATGCAGATAGGGACCGAGTGACTGCCGGTATAAGTAATCTCCCACTTACTGTCCAACGGCTTCGGGTGGATGAGTTGGTGAGTGGTAGGGCACTCTGTTGTCTCGAGACCGAGAAATCGGTCTCAAAGGCGGAGGAACCAAGAAATGGTCAACGTCATCAGGATCTAGAATGCCAGGAAAAACCAATACATTAAATATCCTCGTGGATATCTCTAGTACAGCTTCCCATGACAGAGGAAGACAGTATGCATACTGTTAATGATCATGGACTTCGGAATCCAAGATCTGACAGGAGAGGAAGATCACAACCAGACCACGGGGCCTCTCAAGTCGTAAACCCACGAAAACCCCGTGTCGTGGAAGTCCACAAGATAGCTACGTGGAATGTCACAATTATGTTTGAAGGTGCAAAGTTACACAATATTCAGCTGGAAATGGCCAGACTAGACATTCCTATCCTAGGTATCTGTTAGACGAAATGGCTAGGGTCAAACATATTCGAGAGCAATGGATACATTGTCTACCACTCGGGAAAGGCAGAAGGACCCAGACGTACCAGAGTCACAATTATTGTCAAAGAAGAGATTCGTAACTGTATTAGAAATTTCGTTCCTTTCAATGATCGCATCATGATAACGCAGCTGAAAAATAAATTAAGAAATATTAATATAATACAAGTCTATTCACCAACAGCTGACAAACCAGATGAAGAGATTGAGCAATTCTACAACCAAATTAAACAAATTCTCCGGAGCATAAAAAAACATGAAGTTACGATTATTATGGGAGACTTCAACGCAAAAGTTGGTGCCGATATAACATCATTACATTACAGAAAATACATTTTCTTCATGATTACTTACTGATTACCATTTCATAATTAATTAGAAGACTCGTTCTTACCTTTGGAGGTAGAGTTTTTACTCGAGTAGTATTATTATCGATGACATCGGTGTTACCAAAATCAACGAATCGCACCGTGGTAATATCTTCATCGGCGTCCAACACTTCTGCTCGGTACCACTGTTGGTCCACGGAATAGGGAGCAGCGCATAAAGCACCGGGCGCTGGATTCTCGAGAATCTCCATCTCTTCTACCAGCATTTGTAATTCAGTTTGAAGGTTGTCGATATCTTCCTTGTTTTTGGCAAATTGCAGGTAAAAATCGCTTGGGGAGTCAATATGACTCATATAAACCTACAAAGGAAAGAAAATTAACACTAATAATAAATAAAAATAAGAATTACTTACAAGAGTTCCTTTCACTGGTTCAGCAATAGCCGATTCTCTTTCTGCAGATGCTCCTTTTTCAACTATTTCTCCGTGTGCTTGTTGATCCTCCAGTTTTTGATTGGATATATTCTCTTGTGGTTTCTCCACAATATATGCAACTGTTTCCTCGGTACTTTCGACATAATTTTCCTGCGTTTCTGTTACTGGAGCGGAAGATCCTAAGAGCTGGACAGTACCTTCCCAGCTACTTTCTCCATAAAAGATGTTCGCTATTACTTCTTTGTCTACGAAAGGGGTACCGTCACAGGAAATATTAACCTAAAATAATTATCAGAACCGGTGAAACAGTGTTAAGCAATATCCACGTAAACTTTTTTATTTAATAGTAAAAGAAAGAAAATCGTATTTTTTTGTAATATATCAACATATGGTGGCTGGCAAGCAAAAGAAGGATTAGAGAGCACTCATAATGAACTGTTGAACTTCAATGTTGCGTTTGGTCCAGTATCATAAGAATAATTGATTAAAAAAATTTATTTTTTATTTGAGGCACTTTTTTCTTTACCAATGAACGACATAAAGATTCAAAAGAACTACTTGAATTGTCAGCACATGCGTTCTGAGAAAACAGAACCTCGCATTTAAACTTTGTAACAATAAAAAATTTAGTTATTGCCGACAATTCAAAGAATTACTTCCTTTTAAATGTAGTTACCTTGGGTTTTTCGATTAACCTTGAATAAACCTTTGCGTTTTAAGTTCAAAGCTACCATACATTTCCAAAGTTAAAAAAAAAACACTTTTTTGCACATAGTAACAAAAAACACCACTATGTTGTTACTAGATACGTTTTTTAACATCCTAACTCGACAATTCTAAGTTACGGTAAGACCAATAATGTTTTTTAATAGATAATATATGGTAGCTAATTATAATTTATTCTCTTTCAGCCCTGAAGAAGCCAAATTAATTCTCTTTGGCGAAAACGTTCGGCGAAACAATTGATACTCATTAGAGTTTTTCTTGCAGATTTCCCCAATATTTAAGAGTTTACTACTTATATATACATATATATATATATATATATATATATATATATATATATATATATATATGAGGAGGGGATAAGAATTATATTAAGATAGCAACAATAAACAATGCGACAAGAACACATCTTCGTTATTAATAAATATATAGTGACATAAGAGATATCACATGACGATGACAGTATGGATGATAATAGACACAGTATAAGGTAAATTTCCTTTATTGACCTGAAGAATGCGTCTGACTGAGTACAAAATAAAAAACTGATGTACGATGTAAAATCGAAATTGATAAGAAAATAATAAAATAGAAAGCAAGGTAAAGATATCTGGGAATATATATATAACTAGTTACGGAGATGTCGAAGAAGAAGTACGACAACAAAGCTTAAAAGCAAGTAAAGCGGAGGGATCCCTTAATGAACAATCGGGAAGAACAAACACCTAAGACAAGACACAAAAATAAGAATCTATAAAGCAGCAATTAGACCTATTTTAACATACACGGCGGAGACAAGACCTGACACATCTTAAACGAGACGACTACTAGAAACAACAGATGAAAATACTCCGACGAATATCAGGGAAAAGTCTGTTGGATAGTGAGATAAGCGAAAACATAAGAAGAGCATGCAATATAGAAGACATAAATGGATGGGAGACAAAACGGAAACAGGAGTGGAACGCACACATTAATAGAATGACAGAGGATAGAATAGTACGAATAGCACGAGATAAGTCACCAAATAGACCAAGAAGTATTGGCAGACCAAGAAAAAAGACACTGCTAAAAAGACACTACACGGTATCTTCATTATTAATCAACGTATAGCGACATATGAGATATCACACGCACTACTTCTCTACTTGAAAGTAGAAAAAAAAACGATGTTTTTAGGCATTTTTAAATATTTTAATTTTTTTATTAATATTCCCGAAATATTTTCTGGAAAATTAAAATGCCACCACTCACATCCAAATGTAGTGGTTTTTTCACAGATCGCTCTGGTCTAAATGAGAACTAAATTACTATTAATTATTAATTCCTAGCAAATAGTCTTACCTCTACGCACAAAATAGGAATGTCCAAAAATTCTTTTTCTAACTCTCTTAACGCAGAAAACGCTACCTTCTCAGAATTTCCATAATCTATAAACGAAACTACAGCTTGTTCATCATCGAAATCAGTCACTTTGCCTCGATACCAGTTTCCATCTTCACTATTTACCGCATATATGGAATCAGTTTCGGGAATTATTGTATTCTCGTTAGGTTTGCCGTCGTATGTTTCAAACAACAAATCGAGAAGGGAATTTATTGTTTCGAGGTATTCATTTGGTTGGATAAAAACTGATGATTCGCCCCCGAAAGGTACGTAACCAGTGATGTTTGAACGTAATACCAGCATAGGACAAGGAAGATCTAACGTGTCATATGAACCTTCATCAGGGTTGAGTAAAACGTGTTTATTTCCTTCAGTATCATAAAGAGTAATTTCTAACCTAGAAAAGTAATGTTATTGATTTTATTTGTCGAATTCCGCTGGGATACAAGTTTTAATATCGTCACTACAACTAGTTAACTCAAAAAGTTTCGTGTTTGGAGTAAGTTTACCTGTAGATGTAAAATTATCATCTTCATGTTATGCTACAACTAGACAACACACGAAACAACCTTTGTGTTATAACCAATTTTTAAAAACACACAACTTACTATTATAGTATATCAATATCGATATCTTAAGTCATCTAATTGTTGTACATTTCAGATATTAAGCTCTTAATGGCAACAACTATACAACTACACTTACCGAGTTGTGGCACACGAGTAAGATTACGTGTAAACTGCGGCTATTGAGTTAGCACCAAGACGAAAAAAATGCAGAAAAAGAGGTGGTTTTAAATATAGATATAAATAAAAAAGATACAATTTTTAAAGACACTACTACATCAAGTCAGGTGGCCTTAACTGAGGACTATGATGTAAATAATGTAGATTCATGTTATCGAAGCTGTGGAAGAGTCTCTCTCTTCTGATCATTCAGAATATTTATCTGCTAAACTTCATCTGATGATTAAGTTGCTTTCACGTAAAAATAGGTTAGTAAAATGTAGGAACAAAAGGAGCATTGTTCTAGATGACATGGAAACATTTCCTGAAGTAACTGATGGTCCACAAAAGTTACGTGGACGTAACTTTTGTATTGTACGTCATGTACTGGATGAATGGGCAGGCAACCTGCGCAAACATAAACGTACCTTAGGAAAGCTCATGTTTCTTATAGATATAATAGATAAAAGCATTCCTGATATAACAATGAAACTCGTTTGGGCCACTAACAGTCGAAACCAGTGTTATAGTAAGATGTCAGGGCAGACATTTTGTAGTTCGAAAACACTTGATAAGATTTATTTTTTTGCACACAAATTCACTTCTAATTATCAGTTTTGTCCGTTACATCTGATGTAAGTCCGAACTGGATAAAGTAGACTCGCCCTGCTGCGAAATTTATTATTATTTAGTACCGCGTGCAGCTGAGCAGTGTCGTTGAGGTATACCTTGATGCCAAGACAGAGACAGGTAGTGGCCGTTATTTTTTTCGAAAGTAAAGGCAACATAGTGAAAACTCGCTGGGAATTGTGTAAATAACCATGTGTAATCGTGTAACATGGCTCCAAAACCAACGTGCAATATATCTGCTGATAAACAGAATAAAAAGAGGTGGTTATCTGTGTGTGTAAAAACAGATGATAAAATCGGTTAATAAGGCATTACTCAGAAGAAATTAAGATGTTTATAGAGGACCTCGCGGCATTGTGTGGAGATTTAACGAAAATAATTGTATTGTACGATATTACGAAAAGTATTATCGGAAGAAAAAATTCATAACACAAACCCACATTTAAGTCGCCTACATTCAAAACCCGACAAGTCACAATTTTTTCAAAATCTTTTTTATTAGATATAGGAATTTGAAATACATACATAAATAATACATACATAAATTGAATACATTTATGAAGAAAATCCCGACATATCCGATAATTATAGGCTCCCAAAAATGTACCTTAGATGCAAATACCGACAGGTCCATTCTCGTTTTAAATGCAAAAGCCGACACTTACAATCTGCCAATTGACGCGTAGTATTTTACTCGCCACCTGATTTCGGTTGACAACGTGTTAGCCAAGCAGATCAGTTTAGTTTATGCTTTTAAGTAAGTTGTTTGCAGTGTGTGAAATAAATTGCTAAAATAATGGATTCATTTTTCAACTTTAAATACTGTTGCAGTTTATTAATGTAAAACAGTGTGATGTGACAAAGGCTCGAAAAATAGCGAAAGTCGAAACAAGAAGAAAAAAGGCAAAACGTGCAAGGTATAACCTATAATATTACAATATACAAAACATTACCTTTGTACACCACTTGCGGCCATAAGGGAAAGCCATATCAACCATTTCAATGTACATCTCATCTGCCCATGAACGATGTAAGAGACTTTCATTCAGCTTTTTATCAAAATATGGATAAAAGGGGACAAGACATGTTCATTTTACGCCACATTGACTCACATATCCCGGTAAGACAAAGGAAATGAACAGCCAACAAAAATAAACCAAAATCTTGTATTTTATCCTACAAATTGAAGTGACAACCTAATTATTCCTGTATGTCGAACAGCTTTCCAAGGTATTCTGGGAATTAAAAAAGATAGAATTTTAAACATTATGAAAAACTACAAGAAGCATTCGCTTATTCCTACCGAAAGAAAGGGCGGAGATCAAATTGGACAAAAAAAAAACGAAGGTAAAAAACAATCTATAAAAAAATTCATTGAGTCCCTAAAATGTGCGGAATCTCATTATTGCCGTTCAAAAATATTCAACAGAATTTATTTGCCTGCTGAATTAAGTACCTCAAAATTATGAAGAATATACAACGACAAAATGGCCCAAAACGAAGACTTTAAAGTCAAAGAATGTTTCTTTAGAGATTATTTTAACAAAAGTTTTAACGTTAGCTTTGGAACACTGAAGACAGATTTGTGTTCAACTTATTTACAGTACAAATTCAGCATAAAAGGCGAAACACACGAAGCAACAAAAACTAGTCTGGAAGCACAACAACGTCTCCACAAAGTAAGAAGTGAGAGTTTCTATAGACTTCTTTAAGAATAAAGAGACGACATGGTTACATTTTCATTTGATTGTCAGAACAATTTGGCGCTACCAAAACTTCCGGATCAGTCGGCTTATTTCAGTATGCAACTTAATTTTTATGACCTAACTGTAGTTTGTGGATCTTCAAAAAGTAAATTAAATCCAGAAAATGTTACGTAATATGTTTGGACGGAGTTGGACCATCATAGAAGATCAAACGAAATATCGCCGTTCTTGCACCACTTTCTTTCAAATTTTAATTTTGTGGATAATGTACGTGTTCTTCGACTTATTTGGGAGCACAGAATAAAAATTCCACGGTCATCACCATGCTGAGCTATTGGCTTCAGTTTGAAGCTCCAAGACAAATAAAGGAAATTGAGATAGTGTTTTCCGTTGTGGGGCACTCTTATAGTCCCCCTGATCGTGTGTTTGGACAAATTGAAAGAATTTATAAAAATCACACGGTAATTGTTCATCCTGATGAATATGTAAAGTTCAACCGTCAAAGAGAATAATCATTACAAGAGGACACAGAGTACCACTTATAAGGGGTGAGGCATTTTACAAAACTGACTTATGCGCACCCAAAAGCTTATGCAAATAAGGAAAAAAAGTCTCACAAATTAGTCCAAGAACACTGAAGGCTAGGATAGCGATTAAAGAAGATAAGAAAAAAAGTATTACTAAGCTATTGGAGAAACACTACGGAAAGGGATGGCAAGATAGAGATGAACTGGTCTTTTTCAAAGAAGTATTAAACGAAGCTATAGAGGACGGACAAGGCAGTGAGGCAAACGAAGAGGAAGATAATTGCGAAGCAGAAACAGTTAGCTTTGCAATATAAAATAGTGGATAAATGTTATCTTGCGTTGTTGAGTAATTAAACTTATTTTTCTAATAGATTTCGATTTTCTTTTCTTTCAAAATATTAAATTCATCTGCAAACCCTGACATGTCCAAAATATATCATACAATTACCTGTTTCTGGGGGCCCCTAGATATTGTTTTTTGTGTTTTTTTTTTATGTATTAATATTAAAAACCTCAATTTTCTAAGAGTCGCTGCTTAATTTAATAGGATATAGATTTTACAAGTTTTTCTTCATTATCTCAAATCTCATTTACATAGACTTGTCGGGTTTTGAATCTAGGCGACTGATTATCATACTTCGTCTCGCGCAACTAACTAATATTTTTAGTACTGAAATTAGCATAATGACAAGCATACCTAAGTTATAAAAAAATAACTTGTACTACTTCTAATGTTGTTTATTTTAACAAGAAAAGGGGTCAACAACAAATATAGTGCAGCAAGTATGTAACTAAGAATTTTGTATAAAGTGCAACATGTAACAGCTACATAACTTGGAGTTTGAAACCTTGACTTTTCTCTACATATTTACAGTCTTGGAAAATATGTCCATTATAAAATTGTTAAAAACTGAATACGATAGTGTCGGTTTTAAGCTACAGATGAATTCAAACTTTGCCAAAACCTTTGAACCGTTTTTCCCAAAAGTTTTATATTTGAGTTGCCTAGTTGTATTGATGTGACGATAATCTCTATTAAAATGTGTACTAAATTGTAGTCACGTATAATAAATAATACTTACTTATTATCTTCTAAGACATTATCGACATAAATAATCACAGCCTGTTGCAAGAGACCCTTAAGGTCGTCTTTAAAAGTTTCAGTCGCAGTTTCCAAGTTATGCATGGTACATGTGATGATTTTACCACAATCCAGTCCCACGATGAAGTCATTCAGGTCATTCACGCTGATAATAGTAGCTCTAAATTGTTGCCCGAGTAACACGTTAATATCTATATCGCCGTCTGTTGGACCAGATGCGGCTGATAGGGCCAAGCCGTCTCTGACTAATAAGTCAGCAATACTTTCGGATTCGTAGGTTATATTTACAAAATTTCTAAAAATATAAAACAAAATCAGCAAGTGTTTTATTATATTAAAAAAAAAATACTTACTTTTCATCAACCGTTTTAATAAAATTGCAAACAAAAGCTTCCTTATCAAAATATCCGCTATATGTATCTGGATCAGCCCAATCTTCACCAATCGGACTTATGCCATTCAGCGAGCACGCTATAGCTTGAGCAGGAAGGTTCATAAACTTCTTATCGATAGGCCACGTTTTGGAAACGATGGATACGTTGCCAAAATCGACGTAATATACTTTGTAATCGATACCTACAACCTCCAATACTCTTGCACGATACAGAACATTGTCTTCAGGAAACAGAGCAACTACGGGCGCGCCGCAAACTACCAATTCGGGTTTTCTGTCCTTGTAGAAGTCGTGGATTTCCTCCATCATGGTTTTGAATTCTTCCTATGGAAACGGAAACAAAAATAAATGTTTTAACGCGAATTACTCTTACGATTCGATTTATTGACACTTTTATATACTACTTGTACAATTATTTTATTTCAGTGTATCAAATACAGATTGAAAATAAATCCCTCAGTCATGCTAGATATCGTTGACTGTTTTAGGTTATTTGTTACAGTCTCCTCCTTACAGTTAAGTCTCCATGAATCTCAGTCCTATTGTATGCAGATGTTTATTAACTGGCGCATGCCCAGCAAGGAAGCTGTTATGACTGAGCTGATTTCGGCTTAAGTTAACCCTTTCATTACTGTGAGGACATATATGTCCCAGCGGATTTCAAAAAATCTACTGGCATCTGTTTGTCCCCAAAGCCCATGTTATTTGAACGCATTCGTATTTTTAGACATTCCTTACTTATTACCTAGTAGTATGCAACCTACATATTACGTTTATAACCTAAAAATTGATGTTAACTAAACACGTGCATCAAGAACTCCTAAATAATATCAATTTTAGTAAAGAAAAAGTGTCTGCTCTACCTTTTAACAGATTAAATATAAAACAGTTGGCGATTAACACAGGTTAGTGATAATATATCGTTTAGTTTTGATATTGTTTTCATTGATTTTACCATAATCTCTAAATGGGACTCTAGTGTCCCAGTAGTAGTTATACCGGGTCGTATTTATCCCATTCGTATTGTTTGGTTACAGACTTACTATGGCACGTAGACGTTTTCTAGCACAAAAAGAGCTTCAAGAAGAAATTGACAAATTCATAAATATTTCTCAAAATGAATCCGAACAACCTTATGCTGCCTCAGAGTCTGATTATGTGCCTGATGACGATTCTGCCTCAGATTATGACGAAGTACCTGAGAACACTACTGATCGTGTGGATGTAACACTGCTTCCGAGGAAGAAAGTTCTGATGACGCGGAAATATCTGAAGATGAGTGTGAAAGAAGTGAATGGTCTGCACAATGGAATATACCAAATACAAACTTATGTCCGAAAAAAGAAATTCCCACGCAGAGAAATGGAATAATAACACTAAATATTGACACGAAGGAAGTTATGCTGATGTCCAATTGTCACAGTAAAACTGTTGGAATTATCAACACAAAAATGAAAACTGGAGAAAAAGCTGAGTTCACTTGTCCAGAAATTATTTTTTACATTAATTTTATGGGAGGAGTGGATCTCGCCGATTAAAACGTTAGCACATATGATATGGACCGAAAATCTGCGAAATGGTGGAGAAAAGTTTTTTTTATAGATTAGTCATGTACGCTATTGTAAATTCTTGGATTATTTACAAGGATTTGCATAAAAGAAATGTACAAAAACATAATACGAATTTTCACTTTTGAATTTTCTGGTGCCACTAGCAAAACAGCTAATTGAATTAGGAAGATCGAAATCAAATGTAAAAAGACGAATAAGTGGCCGTTCTGGAAGAATATCTAAACGACAGAAACATATGATCAATGTTAGAGACGATTTGCCACAACAAATACCTACTAGGACAAGGTGCTTTAGATGTTCAAAAAATAAACCAGAAACTCGAACTACGACTATTTGTATAGGGTACAATGTGCCTCTACGCAAAAATTGTTTTGTACCACATCATTCATAAGAAGTAATGTTTTTTGTGTAATGTACTTTTTTATCATTTTGAATATAAGTTTGTTTCTTAACTGATGATTCAACACTAATGGGACATATATGTTCCATTAGTGTTGAATTATCAGTAAAGAAACAACATATATATGTCCCATGTCCTTTCTAAGGACACAAGGATATGCAATAATGTAAAAAAAAATTCAATCGCTTTGTTATGTCTCCAGGTGTCAACGAATATCATTAAAGTCATTTTAAATTGTTTGATTTAGCTACAATGAAATCAGTAATGAAAGGGTTAAAGAGCAGTCATGTTCATTTTTAAATTTCTAAATCTAAGATACTGAAAAGAGAAAACGAACTAACCAAAACCGATAACAAAAAGATAACGGAAGAATTAAATGATCTAAAACGCTCATTTTAAAGATTAGACTAAAGATTTTAAAAATAGACTCTGAAGACCCAAAAACTTTGAAAGAGGGAATGACTACTATATTAGAAAATCATCTTGAGAGTCAAAACCAATATTAAAAGAGCACAAAAAATAGGAACAAAAACATGCTTAATTGAACTTGAAAGCGAAAAGAAAAAACAACAATCTTAAGAAAGAAATACAAACTTAAGAATGTGAAGATCGAAAAAATATGGATTACAGAGGATCTCACAAAAGGAGAGAGAGAGAGAAAATGAAAGCTTTAAGAGACAAAGCAAGAGAAATGAGGGAAAATGGAAAAATGGTCAAAATAGGATACAATAAAATCACAGTGGACGGCAAGGAATGGAGATGGTGCTATAAAGAAGAAAAGGTGTTGGAAATAGCGTGTTCAAAAAACTACCAGAGCAACATAAAAAGAACCAAGGAGAGGCCGAGCAACGAATAGAGAAAGAAGAATTACTAAATAAACCGGACAATGATGATAAATGTTTAGATTTAAGTAGTAATAGGAATAGGATTAGAAATGTAAATGATAATTATTCTATTAGAAATATGACTTGTGATAGGAATATGGGTATTTTGTATACTAACAGTAGTGATAATATTATAGCTAGGGGGAATATTAATAATGAGCATAGCAGTAGTAATGAAGGTAGGGAAAAATTAAATAATAATATTAAAAATAAAAATAGTAATAAAATAAATAACGGATATAATGTTAATACAAAAACCAGGGAACATGAAATCAACGAACAGACCAATAATGGAGAAGAAGAATATAGTAATAAGGAAATACATTATAACAAGACAAATCATATAGGAATAGCGACATGGAATGTGACATCTCTGACCGGCAAGGAAATAGAAGCTACGGAAGAAATGAAAAAAATGAAAGTACAAATAATGGGAATAAGCGAGACAAAAAAGATAGGGAAAGGACACATCAATATAAATGAGAAATATAGTCTATATTATTCCGGAGTACCACAGGGTCACAGAGCAAAAGAAGGAGTCGGTATAATAGTGAATAAAATAATAGAATCAAGAATAACAAACTACGAAGCAGTATCATCTAGAATAATCACAGCCCAAATAGAACTAAAAGACAAGATAGGAATAATACAAATATACGGACCAACAGAAGGAAATGAAGAAGAGATAATGATAGAATTCTACAACGAACTCCAAAACGCATTTGACAAATTAAGTCAGACAAGAGAAAAAATAATAATCTTAAGCGATTGGAATTCAAGAGTAGGTAAAGACATTAACAGGGGATTATGATACATTGGACAATATGGAGAAGACACATTAAATAGAAATGGAATTAAAATGCTGGAATTCTGCCAAACCAATGATCTGGTAATAGGAAACACATTCAGTGAACAAACCATTAACGACAAATATACTTTTGTGGCTGAAGAGAGAAATGCAAAAAGCTTAATAGACTATATAGTCTATACGAGAAACCTAGAACAAAATATAAAAACCATCTTAACGGAAAAGGAACCGGAACTGTCTACACAACATAGAATGGTCACTGCAAAACTGGAGGATGAAAAAATAGAGGAAGTGGAAAGAAAAGAGTATAAGAAAGTAAATGTAAACAAACTAAAGATAGAAAGTGTGCGAGAATTGTACACGGAGGAAACTAACAAAAGACTGAGACAAATAGAGGGCCAAAAAGAAACATGGACAATGGAAGAAAGATGGAATACTTACAGTGAAGTATTAAAGACAACAGCAACTGAAGTGTGTAGAATAAAAAAATATAATAAACAATTGAAAAGGACAAGATGGTGGAATAAAGAAGTGAAGACAGAAATAAAAAAGAAGAAAATAGCATGGAAAAAATACATTGAAACGGGATTAGAAGAAGATAAAGAAAAATACTATAGGCAGAGACGATTGGTAAAAAAGACAGTCACACAAGCAAAAGCAAAAACATGGAAAGAATTTGGAGAAGAACTTCAGGAAGAATATATAACAAATAATAGAAACTTTTGGACAACAATACGACACGTAAAGCAAGGAGGACGAAAGGAAATAAACGCAGTAAGAGATACTTCAAACCAAATACAAATAAGCCCGGAACAAGTAGCTAGGGTATGGAAAGAATATTATGAGAAAAAATTGATACCGAAGTAATAAATAAAGACAATATAAACAATGAAGGCGAAGAAAACACAGAGCTAGAGCAAATAAGTAGAGAAGAAGTAATAGAAGGATTATCAAATATAAAAATAGGCAAGGCAGGTGGAGACGACGAAATTGAACCGGAAATGGTAAAATACATGGGAGAAGAAGGAATAAGCTGGCTATGGAAAATATATAAAGAGGCGTGGGAAAAACAAACAATACCTAAAGACTGGCAGAAGAATATCATCGTGCCAATATACAAAAAAGGAGAACATGTAAACTGCGACAACTATAGAGCAATATGTCTGTCATCGGTATGTTTTAAAATATATACGAAAATAATAGAGAAGAGACTGAGACAAGAAGTAGAAATGGTATTGGGAGAAGAACAAACGGCATTTAGACCGGGAAGACAGACAAATGACAACATATATATCATTAGAAACCTAATAGAAAGAAGCATAGATACGGGCGAAAAACTAGTATTAGCATTCATAGACCTAAGAGCAGCATTTGACACGATAGAAAGACATATTATAGGGAAATGCTTGAGAAAAATAAATGTACCTAATGCATTGATAAAAATTATAGAAAGTACTTACAAAGAGGTAAAAGGAAGGGTACAAATAACAGGGGAAAGATCGGAAGCATTTAATTGGAAGATAGGTATTAAACAAGGAGATAGTCTCAGCCCTTTGCTATTCATAATAGTAATGAACGAATTGTTAAGAAACATTAGAATCAGAACCAATCAACTACAGACAATAATGGATATATGGGTAGAACAAATAGAAGAACTAAAAATGGAGATAAACGAGAAAAAAGTAAGATAATGATAATCAGCGGCAATGGAGATCAGGAAGATAATCAAAAAAAGATAAAATGTAAAAACTCAGAATTGGAAATAGTATCAACTTACGAATACCTGGGAAGTATAATAACTAATGATGGAAAAATAGACTGGGAAATAACAAATAGAGCAAAGAAATCAAACAAGTTATACTATGCGTTAGCCCCAATAATGGGAAAAAGAGAACTTACACGAGAAACAAGAATAAAAATATATAACACAATAGTGATACCGACTGTGCTCTATGCAAGTGAAAACTGGACAATTCTGGAAAAACATAAGAGCAGGATAAACTCAATGGAGATGAGACATCTAAGAAGGATAGTTGGAAAGACAAAATGGGATAGATTAAGCAACGAGACTATTAGGAGAATGGCCAAACAGGAACCGATAATGAACAAAATAGCAAAGAGACAAATGAACTGGTATGGGCATCTGACGAGGATGCAATCCAATAGAATAACAAAAAAAGTTTATGAAGCAAAAAATATCGGAAAAAGAAAAAGAGGCAGACCAAGAAAAAAATGGATACAGCAAGTAGTGGAGGCGGGAAAATTTAAACAAAAATCACTCGAGGAATTAAAAATAATGGCAGGAAACAGAAAAGAATGGAAGAGGTGGGTAAATGGAAATTAAAATAGCTAGCCCAAATCTGACACCCTGATAGGGTAAAAGGAAGGGGAGAAAGAAAGAAAGAAATCTAAGATACGGTTTCATAGGTTGACTAAACAATATGCAGAAATACCAAATACTAGAGGTAGTAGGAACGATTTTTACATGACAAACCAAAAAATATTTATAATCAATAAATAAAATAATTTAAAAATAATAAAAATTCAACAATCTTTTACTTACTTGATAGTCCACTAATTGGCAATGAAATAGTTCCGGATTATGGAACCAACTAACTGTAATCTTCGCTTCAGTACCAACAACTTCGTATGACTGGAATGTGGTCGAGATGGGAACAGCATCTATGCTCGGTGCTTTCGGCGTGGAGTCCCATGAATCTCCACCAGAATTGTTGTCGAAATTTAAATTCCTGGCTTTGTCGAAGTCTCTAGGGTTTCGACCGCCTCGATCATAGCGAGAATTTGATCTAGGTCCTCTTTGGAAGCTTTTCTCAGAACCGCTTTCAGATCCATCTCTAAATATTAAAAATAGTTTGAAGAATATATGTGAAAATTTCAAACAAAATGTTAATTACTATTTAAATGGGAATAAGCCACAATTAAAGGTTAAAGTACGTTTATTGACGTTTCACTTTCCATTTACGAAGTGGAAATCGAAACGTCAATAAACGTACTTTAACCTTTAATTGTGGCTTATTCCCATTTAAATAGTAATTACTTTAAAATTCCACAAGAAAATAGCTTCAGAACAATAACAAAATGTTTTTAGATAAAAAACATTTTATTTTTCAACATAACTTAATAAACTTATTAATATGAGTATATTTCTTTAAAAGAAATTTTAAAGATCTTAAAATACTCACTTTTTATAATCTCTTTGTCTATATCCTCCATCTCTTTGGTTTCCTCTATCGTTGAAACCTCCACGTCCACCTCTTCCTCCTCTATCACTTCTAGATCCTCCACGATCGTTTCTATCGCTGTTAAATCCGCCTCTGTCACCCCTATCATTGTTATAACTTCTATCGCTATTAAATCCTCGATCGCCTTTATCACTGTTAAATCCACGATCGCCTCTATCACTGTTAAATCCTCGATCGCCTCTATCGCTGTTAAACTCTCCTCGATCGCCTCTATCACTGTTAAATCCTCCTCGATCTCCTCTATCGCTGTTAAATCCTCCTCGGTCGCCTCTATCGCCCCTAAATCCTCCTCGATCGCCTCTATCGCTGTTAAATCCTCCACGACCACCCTTATCATTGTTAAAACGTTCTCTTCCATCTCTGCCTCCTCTGTCATTATTAAACCCTCCCCTGTTCTTTCTATAAAAAAAGAAGTATAAATAATAGCAAAGAAGTTTTTAAAACATACCAACCTATCGCCCCTGTTATCGTTGTTTCTCCAACTGGATCCACCTTCACTATTATCGTTCGAACCGGTTCCCCATTCTTCTTTTTCTTGGGGTTTCCATGGTTCTTCAGCGACATTTGTTTCTGTGCCGTCATTCCACCCGTCGTTGGTCTGATTGTCATTCCAATTTGCATCGTTACTGTTATGGTCGTTACTGTTGTAGGTATCGTTTTGTTTGTATTTGTCAAGTCGACTATTTACACTAAAACATAGCAGAAGTCATTAATGTACAGAAAAAAGCAAATATATAAAAGTATAAAAGTTGCAGAATTGTACAAAAATATTCTTTTTAATCGAGGATACTTTATGAACACTGGCAAAGATGAACATTGTCAGTTTCTGACAAATCAATCATGACCAACTCACAATAATTATTGGTAAACGTTAAACTATCTACCAAATTAATACTTAATACTTGATAATTAATACTTGATGGAAAAATAAAAATATCTAAAAAACTGATAACTTTAAGTATAGGAAGTACTTCATAAAATTTGAAGTAGGATATTAGTAATTTTTGATAGTGATATAAAATGCAGGGTGTTCTATTTAAAATTATCAAGAAAATAATGTACTTGCATTTTGACATAGCCCGCATTTGATTTAACGAATATGTTCTATAATTTTTAACAATTATTAAAAAATTGTGGTTGCCATAGATCAATGTTCCTATACTCCTTTTTAATTATACCGGGAGATAAACTTGATACGATTTTCAGGTAATATTGGTTAACACCCTGTAAGATTGTAACTAATTTTAAAATGTGGAGTTTAAAGCTGCCTACAATTTTTATCAATAACTTTTTTTTGTAATTGTTACTATAACAGATTCTACTAAGTAGAAATCAAAACGTCAAAAATACTTATTTAAACTTAAATTGTGGCTTATTCCCTAAAATATAGGAAATGACAATATTTATGTTTTACATTTAAACTTAAATGCTTAAATATTACTAAAAAAAATTTAAAAAGTTTGTTTTTAAACAAATTAGGTGGTTTATTTTACAACTTATTTATTGAAATAATGCATATTCGTAATTTACGTAAAAAGTACATACAAGTTCAAAAAGAAACGTTGAAATACATAAAAAAAAGGAACAGAGATACAGTTAACAGCGCCTTCCCCCTCCCTTCAGCTCCCGCGAGTTTCAAAGCCGACCGATTTTACACGTATTTTGAAGCTTTGTGGACGATAACATTAAAGGGCAATGTTTTTAAAATTTAGTACTATAAAACTATAAAGTATATTCTTTGAAATAGCGCTACTTAGATTTCTTAAGTGTTATAATCAAAGGTGCTATGAATTAAATAAAAAAAAGAGGCTAATTTTCTCCCAAATTATTTTGGGACAATTTTTTTTTCATTTAAATTTGTGAAAAAATTCAGAATTTTTAAATATAAAAAAAAATATTCTTACAGTTTATGGTTAAAAAGTTATTCTAATTGTTATAAGCAAAAAATTGACATGTTTTTGTAAAATTATTTTGCAATACTTAAAATTAATTTTCTTTATTTTTTTTAATGTAAATAATAAAACAAGTCTTCTTCTTCCAGAAACTACCCTTACAATTACTAAAACTGTATAATTTTCTGACTTATATTGTTACAAAAAATGTTAATTTGGGATAAACAAATAAAATAACGTTTAAACTATTTGACCGATCACTTTGAAATTTTGACCATATTTTAAGCACTGCAAGACATAGCATTCCATGAAATATAAATGTTATAAGTTTATTTTCAAAAAAGTTATTAACATTTATAAAAAACCGAAATTTTTTACTTATTTTGCAACTTCCTAAGTGACAAATTAGGATAGAAACATTTAAAAAACGCCATTTTGAAGGTTTTTATATGACTTAAGTTTCTTCTCTTCTAAAATTTGTTTAAATTGCTTCATTTTTTGCTGATAGACGAAAAAAGAAAAAAATTTCCGTTTTTTGACCTTAATTTGTTATAACCAATTAAGTCCAAAAAATCGACTGCAGGAAACATATAAGCTTTTGTTATAGAGGTCCATACTACTCAAAACAACTGTTGTTTGCCTGACCGGACGAGTGTCAAAAACAGGGTACTTTTTCGTCCCAAAAATGCAACTCCGCAATATCATTTTAGAGTCGTCTACTTAAAAATGTATAATATATGTCCGAATTGTTAATATAAACGAATCAGATTAAATTAAATTATTAGAGTTATAGAGAGATAAAGAATTTTTCACCAAGTAACAAAAATCAAAATTTGTTATGGCATAAACTAGGTATCAATCTTCTTCTTCTTCTACGGCACTACAGCCCAAAATGAGCCTTGGCCTCCTTTATTTTTTGCCTCCACCCTTGTCTGTCTGTGGCTGCTCTTCTCCATACACGGACTCCTAAAAGTGCTTGTGCGTCGCTGATTACTGTGTCTTCCCAGCGCTTTCTTGGCTTTCCAACTGGTCTCTTTCCCTGCATTCTGGCGTTCAGTGCTCGTTTTGGTAGCCTATCCTCTCCCATTCGTATCACATGTCCGGCCCATTGCAATCTTTGTATTCTAATGAAGTTTGACAGGTATCAATCAGCCAGAATTAATATTTTGTATTTTGAAAACGATTTCCGAAGTGGAAATTGAAACGGATGTATTTTAAATCTAAATTGTGGCTTATTCCCAAGAAAAATGGTAATTAATTTTACATTTGTTACGTTACTAAGAATAAAAAAATATAGAATGATCAAACTAACCTGGAATCTTTATTTTGACGCCAAGATCTATCGTTGTCGTTCGTATTTTTTTCGAAATTTCTGTAAAAGAATCGAATTATCAATTAAAATACACAAACAACCAAATACTATTTGAGCCGGTGAAAAATGTTTACGTTTAAGTGGTGTATCTAAGATAAAAATATGAATTCTACATCCTTCATGTATAATACAAAAAATTGGGCTATTTTGGCTTAAGCCACTTTCACTCTAAACATGTGCAAGGTAAAGTCAATCCTAACGACTTAAATCTGGAAAAGCAATGGATTTTATTAAACATTTTACGTGAACAGTGTTACATTATTAGCACGTCGAATACACTATATTCATTTTTGGTTTTTTAGAAGATTTCTTTTACTGGCTTGCGTTACGTAGTTCTTCATTATTAGGTTCATCGATTTTCTCTTAATGTTATGGCAAAGGTCCAATATTATTTTGAAAATCATCCACAGTGTTTAGATCCAAGAAAAACGTGTGATGCCCCGGATGAATAAACTGTAGCAGATGGATCATATCTTGCTTTTTAACTCCCCAACAGGTTTATTTAATGGATACAGTTTTTCGTATGGCACATTATTTAAAACTACGGGTGTTTCATTTCTTTCAGCCATCTTTATATTTAGGACATTAAACTCCACCAGATGCTGCAATGTTTCTTTATACATTATTTCGTAAAGATTATCTTCTAGCAATTCACAGGACTGTTGTCACTGTTTTTCTTCCTCTTCCTCATATTTCTCTCTAAATTATTAGTTGAAAAAAAGTAATTTTATTTACAATCAACTTCTTTTTCATTTCTCTACTTTGCGTGATGTCGTGCCAGTTTTCTGGAATTTAAAGGACATTTCCTTTTGCTGCTTATTAGACACTGCCAAAATCTGCGTCGTTTGGTAAATATGAATGGCCCGGAACCAAAAATTTTTGATCTATGACATGGATTTAGTCTCATCACTCTAAATAAACCCCATTAACGCTAAACAGCATACTCATTTTGCGATTTTGACCTCTACAGGTATCGCAGTAAATAGTTACATGTTTTTTATTGTTTGCATTAAGTTTTAAGTGCTTTATTAGACATGAAAAAATGTCACACACACGTTGATTCCACACATAAAAATATCCAGAATCTTCCCCAAAATCATGTACTCCAGAATTGTAGCATTACAATTCTGGAGTACATCATGAAACTGTTAATACTGGAAAGGCTAAAACTTTTTATAAATCCATACTGCAAGCATGTCTTGTTTCTTTTTAGGAAAATTTTTTCATCGTCTTTCATGTAATCTCTAGCTAATTCAGCCGTCCTTAGGTGAAGCTCATGATCTTTTTCAAGTATTTTTTTATCTTCCTGGCTCAAATCAGACTTAGGTATTTTAATTTTGTATTTATCGCAACACTTGCATGTATCTTTCGTATGTATCGTAGGTTCAATAATTCGCATCTATATTTACTATTACTATCTATATGTTTTCTCATGTATTGACTTTGATATAAAGGAAAAGACTGGATATATTGCAAACATTGCTTTACTGCATTTTTATGTATCAAATCACATAAGAATGTATTTTGCCCCTTGAAATCTCTTACAAAACGATTAAAAAAGATTCATCTTTAATTGAAGACGTCCTCTCTTCTAGTGTGATTTTGTGATTACAAAATGTGTACAACTTGTGATTAACAAGGAGTTTGTTGAAACGTTTAACCTTCGACAATTTTTCCCGTCTTTTGACACATATCGCTGTCCAGAATTTCCGATTTGCTTCGCTATGGTTTGCTTATGTTGGGCAGGATTTCGAAGTCTTTTTCTACTTTTATAATTGTTAGAACGCCCCATTTCTGTTGGTTCATCATCAAAAAATGCATGCACATTTCCATCTTCGTCTTCTTAACTAAAAGAATGTTACAAGCCTTTTACTGCAAAAGTATTGAGGAAATATTGTAAATTATTAGGTCAAGGCCTGGGTTGATGAGGGTCGAAGTCAGGATCTCTATCTACTTCGTCAACAAATTCAGGTGGATCTGAGTATTCATTTTCACTGTTACAATAAACTCTCAAAATAAACATTAAATCCAGTATATACTGGTATAACCTCAACTTTTAGTAAGGCAGTTGTGAAAGCACTCATAAAATTTCCAATAATAATACATACAATAATAATCAACTAATTAGAAAGTCTTTGAATTCACTAATAACACTTGAAACTCATTCACCTTTTTTCACTAAACAAAATTATATTGTTACGATAAATATGACTCATAACCTAAACTGTAAATATATTGCTATAGCATTTTTTATATAAAAATGCTTGCACGTCACAATTTATATAAAGTGACGTCACTTATATTTAAAATTTTCAGAACGTTAACCTTAAAGTTAAAATTTTCCTAACACAGCTAATAATACGAAACCCACACAACACTGCTCGATCTTTCATAGGCGTCAATATGGTGTGATAATCAGAAAAATGTAATCATCAGTACATTGGAATTTTGTTTATGTTTTGATTTCTTACACAATTTGATCATAATATAATATATTATATTAATAAATTGTATGTATAAATACATATTAAATTTAGATTAATAGCTTTAAAAACTTATTGTTGTGTATTGTGATTTTGCTATGCCAAACCAAATAATGAAAATAAATATTGTAAATAAATAATATAAATTAAAGTAGTTGTGTTCTAGTTTTTAGTGATAAGTGTAAAACTGTAATAAATATATAAGGACTCTAATAAACTAAGTGTTAGAACATTTTATAATAAATAAAGATAATAAATTAGATTAATAAAAACAGTTCATTGGTGTCAGAGTGGATTTTAAATAAATTGTGAAAATGACTACGATTTATGAGTTTACAGTTACGAATTTAAGAAGACATCTCGAGGACAGAGAATTAGCTTTACCGGAAAAAGGCTGATCTAGTCCAACGACTAAAGAACGCTTTAGAGGAAGTGGAGATTCTGTTCATGTTAAATCAAATTAGATTAATAAAAACAGTTCAATACTAAGTTTTTCAGTTATTAATGACCGAAACTGCACGTAACTGGGGTTTACATAACAACAAACAGTGACTTACTTCATTTCCAATTCCAGAATGGAAACTAGAGTGCTGCCCCTAGTGGCGAATTCATCTACTAATGACTAAAGACGCTTTATAGACATAGTACTATGTCAGGGTATTGGAAATTTTATGACTTGTGCCACTTTCATTCTCACCGGCTCATTTAATAATTACACTGACAAAAGCATATAAAACATTAACAGATACACAAATACCTTTTCTTAAAAAATCCCTTTGAGTTGCTTGAAAAAAAAAATCATAGTTTAAAAACTTTTAACAAATAAAATCAAAAATTATGATCCTTATTAAAATTCTTAAAAGTACACACTGGTTTCATATAATTTATGAAACTTACTACACTTTAATTAATTTAATTATCAATTCACATTGTATTTCCCTTGTTGTATTTTGAATCTAACAGGATAAGCTACGATGAATAAGGCTTTATTAGACTACCAATTAACTACGCCCGTGAGACTCGTGGGTAGATTGAGTAGTTCACGTTGTCGGTGCCGGTCCCAAGACCGGATAAAGGAGGAGGTAGTACAAATACATGAATGTTATGTAAATATAACATCAATGTTATCAATGACATATAGAAAATATAGAAGGAAAAGAAAAAATCTGTTTTAACTTACTGATTATCTCTACTATCTTGTCTCCAAGACTTTTCGTTTCTGTCGCCAGGTTTTTCCCAAGGTTTGTGTTCACTGTAAATATAAATACCTACTGTATATTATTCTTAAACGACAAATAAACGTCTTACCGTCCGGTGTTTTGGCTTCTATCCCCTTTGAAATTTTGCTCCCTTTGTTGTGTGTACGATTTTCTATGTTCTAGTTTGTTGCCTGCTTGTACCAATACTGGACTGACCTGTAGTAATGTATATATTTAATCCTTAATAGTGTAGAATTCAAATATTTTAAAAGTCTCAACAAAAGAAGGTTATTTATTCTATTAAAAAACATTTCACCTAGAGTGAAATGAGTAGAAACGATGAAATAAGGAATCGGATGGGGGTATATGGATCACTGGCAACAGACATAGAAAGGAAACAACTTATATGGTATGGCCATGTTCAAAGAATGCCAAAAACAAGACTACCAAAAATCGCCATGAAATGGATACCACCAAATCGTAAGAAACGAGGAAGACCAAAAAGAACATGGAAGGAGGGAATAACAAAGGCAATGAGCTCCCGAGACTTGACCGAAGAACAATGGAATGATAGAAATTCGTGGAAATTAGGCATCGGACAACGACGCAAGACGTTTTGAAACCGATATATATATATATATATATATATATATATATATATATATATATATATATATATATATATATATATATATATATATATATATATACCGGGTGGTGAAACGCCAAACGGTCCATAGGGAATTCAATGGAAAATTCTAAATTGTTAAATTCCTGCTTCCCTAATTATTTTACATCAAAATTCATAGGAAACTATTTGTAAAGAACTAAAATATGTATTAAAAACAAATGTTAAAATTGTTCTACGAATTAAATGTATCCCAAAATTTTGTAAAAATATAATGCATTTTTTAGGCCACCCCTTAAAGTCAGGCCACACAAGGTACAAGAATGTGTATGACATGTTGCGTTTGATCATATTTATGTTTTTACTATTTGACATTATTTGAATGGTCAATATTTTTAATTTGTGATTAAATCATACACAAATACTAAAATGCATAAGTTTTCACAAAAATACTACTACTAGTGAACAGTAACTAGTACTTTGTAAACAATAAATTATACTGTTTACAAAGCAATAAAATTGATGAAATGTAATCAGTTCACGAAAAATCGCAATAATGTTGTATTCAGGCAATAGTGCGAGCACTGCCAGATCTTTATTTAACACAAGATATCATAATACACTCCAATTCAATTCCAGGTTATACAACAATCAAATAATTTCTATATAGTTTTATTGTGATCCTTCCTAATAATAATTTATATAATTTATGATAATTTCAACATAAAACTATAACAAATGTTCAAACAATAAGCCATTTTGTACTAAGCAGTATCCCACTCGATTGTAAAATTCTCGTCTAACATTAGCCAGAATGCGTGGCGTTATTTTTGCACACTCTTCAATAATTCGCCTTTTTAAAGTTTCAATATCTGTAAATTTTTGGTCAGAATATATTTTTGATTTTAAATGCCCCCAGATAAAATAATCGTTTGGAGCTAGATCTCCCGATCTCGGAGGCCACTTAATATTACAGTCAGGTCCAATCAAACAATTATTAAAGCTGTTTTTAAGGAATTCCTTAACCTCCCAGTTATTATGCGCAGGGCAGCCATCCATTTGAAACCAAATTTCTTCTTCATCTGGAACTAATTCTGCAAGTCTGGGTAAAATTTCTTCTTGTAGCAAGTCTAAAAACTTTTTTGAATTTAAATTTTCTTCATAGAAAAATGGTCCAATAATATTCTGTCTAAATATTCCTAACCAGACATTTATTTTTCGACGATATTGGGTATGGCTTTCAATAATATTCTCAGGCTTTTTTGTCGACCAAATCCTATAATTTTGAACATTTGGTTCATTATTTAATGTAAATGTACATTCATCACTAAACAAAATGTTTTTTAAAAATTGTCTGTCTGCATTAGCCCTCTCTAACATTTCATAACAAAATTCCGCTCGTCTTTCAGCATCTCCTTCTCTTAGTTCTTGATGACATTGGAATTTATATGAACGGAATTTATTCCTTTTCAAAATTTTTAAAGCCGTAGAGTTATGAATATTTAACTGATCTGCAATGGTCCGAGAACTTATTCTAGGATTTTCTACAACTGCTGTTAATACATTTATTTCATTTTGATTTTCTAAATTTTTTGGTACTTCAGCAATATTGTTGTATTGGTGTACAGGTACAATTAGAAATCACGGTCCCAGTATTTTCAAACTTTTTTAAAATCCTTAGAATTGTTGAGTGACTTGGAATTGGTCTATTGGGATATTTTACGCTAAATAAAGAACTGACAATTCGCGCACTATTGCCAGAATAAAACATTTTTATTATTGCTACTTTCTCCTCGACTGAATACATTTTTTAATAAACTATGTTGTTTTTTAAACAATAAATCACTAAATTAAAATTTTGGCAATTCAAATAATGTCAAATATTATAAACATAAATACGACCAAACGCAACATGTCATACACATTCTTGTACCTTGTGTGGTCTGACTTTAAGGGGTGGGCCTAAAAAATGTTTTATATTTTTACAAAATTTTGGGATACATTTAATTCGTAGAACAATTTTAACATTTGTTTTTAATACATATTTTAGTTCTTTACAAATAGTTTCCTATGAATTTTGTTGTAAAATAATTAGGGAAGCAGGAATTCAACAACTTAGAATTTCCCATTGAATTTCCTATGGACCGTTTGGCGTTTCACCACCCTGTATATATATATATATATATATATATATATATATATATATATATATATATATATATATATATATATATATATATATATATATATATATATATATATATTACCTAGAGTTTCTTCGTTTGATGAAACTTATAAAAATGTACTAATACATAAAATAAAAAGTAAACGGACTGAGGTAAACGATACCATATTGGAGATGACTCTACAAAAGGAGTCGAAAGCTCAACGCAGCCAAAAATGCCACAGATCAATCTTTAAAGCTGGTTGTTCACGATCATACAAATCTATACCGGAAATTAAAACGGAATCGAATCGAAACAAATCGAAGTCACTAGATGTTATATGTTCAAAACACTAATCCATTTAAATTTGGTAAGGTGACTGTTCTGTGGATCAGTGTTCTTCTAATAAACTTTTTTATTCTGAATGTTTGGAAATTAGTGCTCTAGATTATTTCGTTGGCAGTAACAACGGATTCTAAAAATTACTTGCCCGTTTCTGTATTTCAACACATGACACAAGTATTGTGTCATGTTTTTTGTTTACCCATTCGATGAAGTACCTCATCGTTGGTAACTTTTTGTACCCATGGAATTCTCAGCATCCGTCTGTATATATACATCTCAAAGGCATCTATTCTTTTTCTGTTTCAGAGTCCAATGTTCAACTTTCAAAGAAACAGAGCAAGACACAGAAAATGTAACATCTGATCATTCGGATTCTGGGCTCTAGACTGAGGTCTGATAAAAAATGTTTTCATGATCGAGTGTTTTTTTTTCGCTTGTTCGATTCTTGATAGAATTTCTTTTTTTGGTAACACTGACTGTTGGTATGTGCTCTATATAAAAAGCCAATATATAAAAAAGAAGATAAGAGGGAATGCCAGAATTATAGACCAATTACATTGCTAAATGTAATATACAAAATCCTTTCTGGCATTATCTACACTAGATTGTCAGAATACTGCGAAAATATAATTAGTGATTATCAAAATGGATTCAGACCAAATAGAGCCACTACAGACAACATATTCATACTTAGAACAATAAATGAGAACGCTTATGAATACGACATAGAACTATATAATATGTATATAGACTTTAAACAAGCTTTTAATAGTGTGAAAAAAAAAAACAAAATGCTGGAAGAGTTCCGAAATCTAGGTATACCAAAAAAATATATCAGCCTTATAAAAATGATGTGGCAGGGTTCAAAAGCCGCAGTTAAAGTAGATGGAGAACTGTTTGAAACCAACATGGGGGTCAGACAGGGAAACCCACTTTCAACCATGTTGTTCAACCTAGTTCTTGAAGCAGTCATCAGAAAAACCAATGTAACAATCAAAAGAACAACTGAGCATGAAAATAATATAGCAATAGACAACTATACTATTTGTTAAAGACAGTTTTATTTATATTTTAATATAGACGCGGCAACCGCGCACCGCGAAGTTTGTACGTCGGCTTGGTTCTTAACCGTCGTTGAGAACAACATTGTAAATCCGAAAGTCAGACAATAAAGACATGTTTCTGTAGTTCCTTAGTCAATTAATTCAATCCTAAATCGAAAGTAAAATCCCACATAGCGGGAAGTAAAACAACATAACATTCGGTCCTTCGTAGCCACATAACCAGTAAACTGTGGAAATCTTAGTGAAATCCATTAATTACTCAAATTAGTGTTAAAAACAACGAAAGTGATATGCCGGCAAGAAGCCAGAATTCGCGCCATTGAAATCCAGAATCTACGAACGTCAATCAATTGCAGTCGCCCAACCGTATATTGTGGAACGAGAAGCGACGTTCAATCAAGTTCAGTGCTGGACGAATGTACAGTGAACCAGTCAAGGTGGAGAGACAGAGCTCATAGCGAGAACTATACATTTTAAATGTGAGTTTTTCATATTCCTGTACTTTTCTTCCATTTTACCGAATTATTTCAATTGTAAATAAGCAAATTCAGCACTCCTTAATTTCTTAACGTTCAAAAACAAATAAATTCTCAGAATATAATTAATATGCCTAATGAATTCAGCTATTATTTATCTGCTATCTATTTTTAAATAAATAAAACGTTTGTATTTTAATTTAAAACATATTTTAAATATATTTGAGGTAATTTTTATATCAAAAGGTGTAATTATGGCGTCAAAAGGCTTAGGGAAATTATTAAAAAAACGTGAATTTCAAATTTCTAAGCTTGAGCAATTTAAAACATATTTAGACGACTTTAAACGGTTGTTAAATGGTAGTTCAGTGGCGGCGGTCGATGAGGAGCGTATAATAGAGCTAGAGTTAAGACTAGAGAGACAAGTTGTTTTGTTCCATGAGTTCGAGCAACTGCAAGAGGAGATCGAAAGTATAGAGGATCCAATTGATGCTCAATTAATCAAACAACGTGATGACTTCACAAATAGTCATTATAG